TTTTGTTTTTAATTGTGGTCGTAAGTCGAGGGCTACCTGTACTGTGATTGAAAACTGGAGAAATACCTAGGAAAAAAAAGTTAATGGCAATTTTGTACCTAGGAAAAAAAGATAATGGCAATTTAATCTATATTTTAGTAAGTGGTATTAAGTTCCACTAATTGTTTCAATCAGCAGGAATCAACTCAGTGATTGTCATTATACATGTGAGGTGTCCAAGTCTTGGCCATGTTTCTCCGCCATTGACTGCTGATCATTCAGTTCTCAAGAGGGAAGGTTGCCCTAGCTTTACTTTATTTGTATCAATTAATTTAATTTTTTCTCATATTCTTTAGTTTGCATACTGAATCCTGACAGAATGACACAGTATGTAATGCAGCAAGAAACCAGAATAGAAAGATTATAGTCTTTATGCAGGATTGAATATAAACATGCAATCATACAGTTGCAGATGTCAACAATAGGCATTCGTTGTGCCAGGTTTGTCAATCAGCACACAATATGCATTCAGCAATCATGGTATCGACAAATAATGGCAGATTAGTTTTTAATAAACACACTGCAGGAAAGCCAACTTCTGCCAAATGAAATCATGTCTCTATAGAGAATCAGAGGAGGAGGAAAATTGCTGATAATTCCTCATGTGATTCAAAATGTAACTTGGTTTATTTTGCTCCTGAGCTCCAAGTGATAGTTTCGTTTTTGAAAACAGGATATTAAAATCTATGAAAGACAACAGATAATCTATTTACCCGCTATTTGAAATGTTTAGATCCTATCTTTCTGCTATGAATGTAGTATGTTCCCCAATAGTCACATTATTTAATTTAATAATACATTTAGGTATTCCTTGTTTAGCAACCACAGTAACTCCACTGCTAAGCACCAGTCACTAAGCAGAAAAATCACATGACTATGATGGACTTACTATGTCACTTCCCAGTTGGTTGTTAAGTGAGTCACCATAACATTAAATGAAACATCATATGATTGCAATTTGCAATTTTACTTCCACATTCTCCATTAACTTTGCTTGTTGCCAGTTGTGAAGCAGACAAGTGGCAATCAGATTATTGAGGACACTGCAATGGGCATACATTTTTGCCAATTACAAAGTGCCGAAAGTGGCAATCACATGATTGTGGGATACTGCTACAGTCATCAATCCAAGGATTGGTTGCAAAGCTATTTCTTACATCATCGTAACTTCAAATGACCATTGAATGAGGCAGTCAGCAAGCAAGGAGCATTTGTATTGTTTGTAGCAAAAAAAATTTAGGTAGCATACATGAGAAAAATGGAGATAGTCCTTGGATTACATCCATTTGTTCAGTGACCATTCAAAGTTAGAAAAGTGCTGAATGAATTGTACTTACAATTGGTCCTTGAAGTTTCACCTATCACAGCATTCAACTAGTCACGTGAACATGATTTCTGACATTCCCTGCTGACTTCTCACAAAGTGGTGAAGCCAATCAAAAGTTGCATCACATGAAGTCCTTGTTTAATAGCTCACATGGTCCTTGTGTAAGGACAACAACTAGGACTACTGGAATTGTCATTCCCTTTAATATCTACCTGAAACTACTGGGTGAAGTTGTCTGACAGCACAGAGTATGATATCATCATATGCTAATGATAGCGATTTATATACTATATCTCTACCCCAGGCCAGGCAGGGGATGCTGTTGTGGTGTGTCCAAGTATTTGGAGGCTGTAAGAGTCTGGATGGGAATGATGAACCAACTTTGGCTCAACTTGAAAAGATGGAGTGGCTTTGGATTTTGGGCCCCATGTCCTTTCTTAAATTTATTCTGGACATAGATTTTAAAATCTTGCTGCTACTGCCTTAAATACATCTAGAACTCTTTATGTCTAGTTTATCTCCTTTCTTGTATGTGTGTGTGGGGGGGTTACTAGTCAATGGAACATAACAATTCTTAACTCATTCTATTGATTTCTGAAAGTCTCCCAGAACTAACAGAACAAACATCTCAGAATGTAAATGTTTGGTGGCTTCCAGGAGCATATGCTATTGTACTGCATTGTAAAAGTGATCCGGCACAGGATCCAAATAAAGAAATAAGTGTATTGTATTATGTAATATGAATATTTTCACACATAGAGTAATAATTTTGTATAATAATTTATCCCACCCACAATATCCTAACTTTGATTCTATTTCTGTGTACCTTTGTAGGGGAGGAAAAAACAACAGAAAAAGCTGCAGTTTATTTGCTTATCACCAGATGGTACTATAGTTTCAATACCAAGATTCTCAAGGCTTACAGTCTGACTTCAAATTACAGCGATAAAAAGTAGACAAGGGGAGTAGTAAATAGCACAAGAGGAAAAGAGAAACACATTGTGCACTCATTCGGTATTGCTTTTCATGGGTGGAGAAATGGAAGACTGTTTTCTTTCTATTCTGAAAATGTGCAGTTTTCTTAATTTATAGTGGGAGCTTACCAGTTTCATAACCGCCTCTTTCTCATGGAATAGAGAAATTGTGTTTTAATTTATTTTTCCTTACTTTTAAAAATTATGGAGGACCTATTGACATTTTTTCTGCCACTGCCATTTCTGATTATTGCTTGATGGGATTTTAATATTGTATTATTTTTCAACATAATTACAAAAACAAAATGAGCAGAAAATTTTACTTTCAGAACATTAATCAGGTAGGACCTCAATGTATATCACAAATTCTAATTATCTCACTCCTCCTCTACTCTCAAAGATGATTTAAAAATATGTCACTTCCTGATTCATATGGAAATGATTTTGGATCCAAAGGAAAAAACATCCCTGGATCTAGATTGAAGCTATATAAACTCCTCATGTGCTGAACAAGTTGCTAATGTCAGCTCCAATGTTCTTCTGGCTAAAATAATAGCCACAAAATGGAAGAGCTTGGAGAATATCCACTGAAGATCCACATGGAAGTTTAAAATAAAATAACGCTAAACAAGACAAAAATGATGATTTGGTAAACAGTATTTAAAACATGTCTGTGAGATGTATGGGATCCAAAACCCTTATCCAATCACAACTCTAGAAAATGCTGCATCTGGGACCCTAAAGCACCTGCAGGCTGCAAACAATTTATCTTTCCTATTTTATACATGCAGTTAATGGACTGGCTTTAGGAAAGCCAAAGACATTGAAATTTTCTTTTCTTCAAATCTTGACATGGTAAGCTACAACCAATTCAGATTTAAATCTTGAAAAGATCTCTTTGAAAAAAATGTTCAGGGCTACAGAAAGACGCAGCAGTGAACTGATTGATAATTGTTTCAGATCAAACACTAGGGTCTGTAAAATTATATGTACCATCAAAGGCATTTTGTTTCTTCCAGTACTGCTGTAGATAGGACCTGGGTGATCAGAGGATTCAGTAGGATTATGTACAACAGATCTCTATGTCATCAGGTAATTTAATGCATCTCCTGTTTCCATGTCTTCAGTGGGAAAACAAAAATAAAGTGTCAACAATTTTTGTTGAATTGAATGCCAAACTGGTAACAGGCAAGCCAAAATGTCTGACAAACATTCTCTGATGAAGGCATCTTTTTCCTACTTACAGGTTTATTCAACTCAGCTTGTTGTCAGGCTTTGAATGGGTTTAACTGGCAAAAGGAGGTGATATTGGCTTATGCTGGAAGGATGCTTACTTCTTACATTGTGTCCTATTTTGAAGCATCACTGTTGCTGCAAGTCATGTGATTGTCAAGTTGAGAATATGCTGATTCTGAAAAAGGCTAATGACAGCTTGACCACTCACTGTTCTTGAAAATATGTACTGTATTTGAACTCCCAGAAAGATAAGAGACTGAGTCATCCTGTTATTGCAATCTACTTTCCAGATCCTGAAGCTCCTTCCATCAGTTGTCTCTAGAACATAAAAATACCACTTTGGTTTGTCTTCCTTGAATATTGGCAGAAGTCTCCAGAAAAGACTTTGACATTTGGAGAAATTTCTGAACAAAATATGATAAGTCCACTGCAGATTTCAAAGGTGAAACTTGGTCCAAGAAACAATACGAGTCCTAATTATCAATCCTTGTCAAGTAATTTAGATAGCAGCACTGAGATGAACACATACTATTAAATTAAAATTAAATTAAATGAATCCCAGATATAAAAATGGTACAATGCTATCTTCTAATATTTATTTAGGTTGACCAAAAGTATGGCCCTTTCCCAATTGTCAGAATTGTCAGAGACCATTCTTTCTCACCATTAGGCTCAGCAGGAACTCATTAGGTTTCTTGAAGCTGGAAGATTGAGAGGGAGGACTGAGTGAGCCACCTGACAATAAATGCTGAGTAACTTCCTGTGGCAATTAGTTGTGGAACATGCCGGTATTCTCAGTTTCAGGGAGGTTGATGCACAACTGATTCCATACAGAACTTGCAGTTGCATACACCAGTTTACCTTTTCACATGTACAAGTGTTCTCCAGTAATCCCTCTTTTAACTATAAAGAATGTTGAGTAAGTACCAAAGCGCATCAGATCTCTAGCTCAAATGTTGATAAGACTTTCAGCATCAAACCATTCTTTTGTGAGCAGCAAAGCCTGAGAGTTGATACAAAATAATGAGGAATTTGAACATAATCTATTATACACCCCTGAGAACACATACATTTATTATTTAACTCCAAAATCTGCTGGGTTTCTATAGTATAACTGGCCTCCCACATAAATAATTTAGAATCCTTTCATATTTCTACCTTCTTTACGGAAAAAGCTATGGAAAGATTTGGCCTGAGGCTGATGTCTTGGTTGATTTGTCCCAAAATGATCTTGTTCTCTTGAGATCTGGGAACAGGTTTAACAGCTGAACAGATACACGAGAAGAAGCTCTTGAAGCATTTGAAATCTCTTTCAGGACAACTTGGAAGCCCTTTTCCTTCTCTCTGGTTTGTTGAATGACCTCACATGTACTGCAGCTTTAAATTTGGAATCAATATTTTATTATTTCAGCCAGAAGGGTTTACACAATGTGCCAGTATAAAAAATGGGAGGGGGGCAGCCACTCACATTAAGTTTTCTTTCACCCTTTTCTGAGAATAAAAGGTGACTACAAGGTCTCAGAGCAGCCTGGAAGTGGGGAAACTGCTAAAGAGACCATCAGCAAAGAAATCAATGTGGAAACAGCTCTCCTTGAGCCCTGCTTTCTTAACTTGGGATCTGAAAAAGAAATTTATATCAATGAAAATATCCCTACATGACTGCAACATTTTGAATGGTCATCAGCCAAGACTGTTTTTTCAGCCCTTGTGTTTATCAGTGATAGACAGCCAGTGACAGTGAAGGGAGCAAGGAAGTGAAGGCAACAGGGAAAAATCCCATGACTGAGGAAACGTCTCCTCTTACCGGGAGCTGCAAAGAGCATGAATCAAGCCCACATAGCTTTATTCATGTAATTCAACTGCAAAATTTAAGGTGATGACTGTGTGCCCAAATAAGGCTCTATCTTCGCTAATGGCTCAGTTCCCTGAAACAGAATGTGGAAAGAAGATCCATACATGAGCTACATATTCCTTTGGTGTTGTCCACTGGTTCTGCAATAGATTACTCCCACAGAAATGGAGGGCAGCACCCATATGGAAGGACCTTCCCCTTGGGACTTATAATGCACAAGTCTCACAGACCCTTCTGGAGTGATCTTCTGAGGCATCAAAGGATCAAGATAGACTAAATTCCTTTCATTCTGTTCTCCTCATCTGGATATCTACATACAGTACTAGACAGTAGAGCTGCTCTCTTAGTATGGCCACCACAGTTAGGCAGAAGAGGAACAAAAGAGGACTTCCTCCTCCAAATTGTGTATTGACTGCAGTTGTTGCTTTTATCAAGTACATGGAAAGAACCACCCCAAGAATACTTTTCTGCACTGTGGGAAAACAGAATTAGATCTGTGCATACTCATTTACATAAAAAGTATTGCTTTGTGATTAACAGCGTGTTCTTACTTTAAAAACTACAACATGATTCTCTTTTACCAAAAAATCTAAATGCATTAGAGCTAAAAGACATTTCTCTGCTCTATCTATTTCTATTGTGTCAGAAATACCCTATGTATATTTATATTGTGTACATGCTAATTTTATGTATTTTTTTCATAAAATATATACATTTTTAAAGGATGATTCCTTCCACAACAGGAAAACCACACTGGCATAAATGGATTGTTCCTACAGAAAAGTGTGTATGTATGTATGTATTTATACGCGCACACACGCACACTATCTGAATATTTTGGTGCATTTCCTTCCAATACTTTTGAATTAGCATGACTAAACACATAGATAAAATGCTCTTTATTTGTTGTAGCATTTCCAATATTTGTGATTGTATCGTTTCTTTTGAACTTGGTAATCATTGATGGAGTACACCATACCAATTTTCCTCCAAAATATAGCTTAGAGTAAATTGTATTTTTCCCATAAGTCCATTATTCTATTGTAATTACTTCTTTGAAGTTTGCATCCACTTTTATCATACAATTTTTTATTTATTTTGTCTCCATGTCATATTTCAATAAGAATATATCCCTAATAGATTGTCTTGGTTAAGTATTCTAAATTCTGCCCTTTTTTTTCAAAGTTCCTCCTCTCTTGAGATCAGTTTTTATTCTTCCAGCAATCAACCATGGTGAATTCCTACCTTCACAGAACAGTTCTTACTATGGCTTTAATCTGTTTTCCAAGTTTGAGTACAACATTATTAGCATCCTTCTTACTGTAGTTGTCTTCAAAGTAAAAGGGATCTGACAATAATGCTAATGGTGAAATTACCAGATATATCCTTGTTTTTTAACAAACTTTGCCTTATAATATGCTTCTTCTCATACTTCTCTTGCTTCTTCATACCACAAATAAATAAATAAATACTACTACAATTGATATTCTGCTGTTAAGGGTTTTTATCCTATCTGTTAGCCACAATAAACAGCTCACTTGATAATATAATTTCAGTTTAGGAAATTCAAATCCACCTCCTTCTTTTAAGTCTTGTTAAATTTTGAATCTTACTTATTAAGTATCTTAATATTAAATTCCATGACATGTTGAACTGGAAATACAATATAAGACATGGTTTGCAAATCAACTGAGCTCAATTTAATTTTAAATAATATTACCTGTATTTAGTATCTGCAGTAAGAATAAACATGTTATGTGAAATGAAATGTGCTGTTGCAGTTTTATTCCAAAAAGAGTTACATGAAACAAAAATAACATGTGGAACAATTAAAATTAATCAGAATGCAAGCAATATAAATTCTTAGCTTCCCAAATATTCAATATATACCTCAAGATTGAAAACAGTGATGAATCCTCTTCCCAAATGTCCAAATACATCTAAATAATAAATTTTAAAAATAAGTTCAAAATAGCCCAAAGGGTATAGCTGTTTTCCTTTAGAGTCAGGTGCAATCCACTCCACACTCCTTAAGTAAACTCTAGCTCAGCTGGCAAAACAAAAGAACATCTTGCTTTTCATGTTCATATGAGACACCTTGTTCTTCAACTTCTCCGAAGAACAAATGAAGGCTTTTTTTTCCAATCTAACATTTGTTCTTGTTGGAGATTCAAATAATTTTTAACCAAAGGCAAAATATTACAAAGGAAAACCTATTTTCACCAAAACCCCAAAGGAAGGGAACAGTTCAAATTATTGCAATGCTTTCCCTATATTAACAATTTTGGAAGGAAGCAATGGATTAGCTCTCTATTTTTGCCAACCATACTATCCTGAAAAATATCTTGTACTCTAGTGAATCATTTTCCATACGTACAGTATACTTTTATGTAGCAAAAGAACATACTGAAGTACTTACAATGTATAAGATTCAACTTACAGTAAAACGTTTAAGCTCACCAATGAATCTACCAATAAATATAGCTAGGCCTGCATTTATTTAGTGAAAGTAGGGAAGAATGTAAAGGATTATACAGACAGATTTTATCTATCTCTTATAATACTAGACAACATCAAAAGTTAAAATATTTGGATGCTATCACTAAAAAGATTTCTGATGAACTGACTTTGAAGTCATATAAAATATAGTTATTTTCAATATAGTATGTCCTTTGTGTTGAAAGGCAGAAAGGTATTTAGGAATATACAACAGTACAAACAAAATCTATCTGCAGTTCATTAACCCAAATATAGTTTCTCCAGCAATTATATGGCACTTGCAGTGCATACCGTAGTTGTATTATCTCAGGAAAAGGATATCTGCTTTATGGAGTTCCATTCGTTTCCCACAAACTCTGAAACAGAACCAACTTATAGTATTATCCTTATAATGTTATAGTTAATATATTAAATGTTTAGAAAGCAAACTGACGATTACGTACTTAAACTTTTTACATGACAGTTGGAAAATTATATACTGAAATCCATTGCTTTACTGCATTTAAATTATCCTGCTTATATTAAAATATTTCTCACAATCTCAAAAGGAATCCAGATTACTTCTCTGTTCTACTGTATGTTACAATCTCCACCCTTATTGGGATCTTCTCCCTCAAGTCTAATCCATTTCTTCTCAATTTCAACCTATAGTATGAAAGCAAAAGAAATGGGATTAAAAAAGGCTTATATTATTACTGACATTCCTATTTAATAATAGCCCTTTTTATTGAAATAAAATATAAATAGAATATTAACAGAACACTTAAGATAAATATACAGAATAAAAGAAAACATGTTGCTGTGAAACTGACTTAAGACCACCATCCCATCTCATTAAAAATATAAACAGTAGTATCCATGTATTCTAATGTAACCCAAGCAGAAATGTGCATGGTCCACTTCACCTATTTTACCTCAATCAACAGAAGCATTGCCTATATTATAAATAAGCCCTGCTTAAATATTTAGAATAAAAATGTTATAATAAGCTGTGGAAGCAGTCACAGAACATTATTAAATCTAAAACTTACAGAAAAATAAAAATGGGGTTTTCTGAGCTGTAGAAACATCATGTTAGTTAAATGAGCCCACTGACACAATCCTTTGTGCCATAATATACAGAGAACAAGAGTTTTGAGACTTGTTCAGAAGAATAGATATCTTTGCTTGCTATAATCCTTCAGTAATTTAAAATTTAAAGGCACATATAAAGCAAAGCTTATATTAGTCTATGTGCTTGATTATGCCAGCTGGCTGTTTCCTGCCATTCTATATGAATTTACAATGGTTACCACTGGCTTCTTTAATACATATTATCTTGTCTCAGTCATGACCCTCAGTAAACAGTATGCAGAGAGGCAAGACTTAAATCATGATTTGTTTTACATTTATTTTTTTCTGGCTGGCATGATAAAAAGTTGTGGGCAGGTCGTGTGATAAACCAGTTGCTCTGGTAGATGATTTGGGAAGTTTTAAGACAGAGACAACCACTGGAAAGGTTTGTGCAGCAGAGAAATAAGGCAGTTGGTCCAACAGGATGCACTGACAACTAAAGCTACATTTTATATGTTATTCAGACATAAGCATTGTGCTAGTGCTGGATAAGGTTCCACAGAATAGCAATTACATTATCAGATGCATGTCTTAGCAAAAGACATACAATTAAATAAAATTAAATATGATTATGGTAAGTGTGGATTGGCATTTGATTAAGCAGGAACAGAAAGACATTACCTGGTAATTATAACATGCTTTCTGAATCACATGTTTCTGAGGCTGTACATCCCTATCAATACCCCATGATTTCACTTCAGTTCCTGAGGCACATGTGTCAGACACAACAAACTGCACCATAGCAAAAGGGCTCCAATCGGAAGGGATTTCTTGATCTGAGCCAAGTTCTAGTTTGAAAGACAAACTGTGCAGATGACCTGGATCTTGGAAAGAAAGAGGGGAAAATATTATAGCAAAGCTTTACAAATCAGCTGGCTGAGAGAACAATCAAGCCACTGAAGTTTCTGGAAGGACTGGGTAGTGCAATTCTATGGGATAGTTAAGTAGTTTGACAGGAAACAACAATAATGAAGGGCCACTAAATATCCCCTGGAATATTTGCCCCAGTCTTAAATTTTGATCTGTACCATTTTTTTAACCAAAACATAATATAACACTAGCAGATAGAATTCAAATTTGTTGGGCAATCATAAGAAAAACACAGAAGAGCCCAGCATACCAAGTACTTGATATCAAAGTATTAATTCTGGCAATACAGTATATTCAATATATTTTCTATCCCCTTGCTGTTCAAAATAGTTCAAAAGATACAGAATTACTTCTTGCCATCTTACATTAAACTTTGTATTCATTCTTTTTTGCATATATTTGAAGACATAAATGCAGCTATCATATGATAAGATTTCAGATTTATATAGCTATCTTCAACAGGAGAGAATATACAATTTCTAGAGGAACTTGTTAAGCTGTTCTATGCATATTTTTGTTTTTCAAGGCTAATGCATATTTAGCCACTGTATTTAGAAAACATACTTGTAACCATCTATGGAGAGAAGTATACTTGGATCCAACTCAATAAAAGATTTTCCCAAAACACACATTCTAACATAATTCTAGGGCCCTTTAAGAAGAAATGTATAAAACAAGTTTAAATGATATCATCTTGTCAATCAACATTTGTTTTATAAAATATAAATGGTTGTGATTTGGCAAGATTTTATATTTTGCACAGGTGAATAGAATAGTTCAGAATTTGAGTTTAAACCAGCAAAAGCAATGATAAACATTCAAAACATATCCCTACATACACTAAAATGATATCTATTATATATCGTCATACTCACTGTTAGCAATGGGAGTATGCTAGCCAGAATGAAATAGGCATGGTCTTCCACTATATCATCTATTTTATTTACTTGACCATTAATTCTGCCACTATCTTATTTCTGTCATATTAATAAACTACTGAAATAATTCAATTCAATTCTCTTACAGCATTTATATAAAATAATTTTCTAAAAATTATTTACTTGAGTTTTTATCTGGTAGTCTGTCAATTTTCCACACAATAGCTCTATAGGCACTTTCATACTTGGCTGTTCCAACTGAGACATGAATAATGGAGTCAGATTCAACCTCATTTAAAGAGCCAAGGCAAGTTCTTCTGTTCATTTTTGCTTTCAGGGATCTCTGTCTTTGGAGGTTCATAGTCCAAAGAGTTTTGTTCCATTGTGAGGGAACAGGAAAGTGAACCATTACATTCTCACAGTGTTTTGTAGGGTATGAATATGCTGAAGACATGTTTATGAAAGCTTGCAGTTCGACATAAGCTCCTTGAACGACTAACAAGGCTTTGACAGAAAATGGAAGATCTGATCCATTATATTGTGTCCTATAACGCATTAGTTCTACTCTACAGCCATCTGGTGGTGTAAATTTGATTATTCTTGATTGCTCAAATTCTTGTTTCTTCACACATTGATGAAAGTGATAGTCACTAATTTTGATCCATTTTTTCTTAATGTCTGACTCAAAATAATGTTCATCCCTCTTTTGAAGCTCCAAGTCATTTAGTGTCATAAAGCACTCAGAATTACCATTCAAAAAGTTTAATGAATAAATATGAGTTATGACAGCAGTTTCAATTAACCTCTCTTCTGCTTTACTAATTGTCCCCCAAAAATTATCCACTATTTCCACGATCATTTCTTGTTCTTCATAATGTCTCTTTGGTTTTGAAATAGGAGGAAGCTTCATTAACTCTTCCTCAACTATCATTAGGAAGTCAGTGAAGTCACTGTAATCAGTTGTTCCTAATTTCAGCATCTGTTCAATCTCTGCTTCATGAACTACTTCAGTTTTAGGGTATTTCTTTTTCTCTGTATAAGTCACATATTCAATTTTCACTGTATGGATTTTTCCAGAGATGTTGCAGTTCTCTAACTTTGGTTCTGAAAGCCTGCAAAATGGTTGCAGCTGGAATTCTTTGAAAGGTTTTTCAAGACCTTTTTCATAATACATTTGTAGGATTCCTCCTGATAAAACTCTAAGGTAAATAGGACCCCACTGCCTTGATGACATCATATTTTTCTTTTCAGGAATCCTCAACATGAAAGGCCAGCCATCTATTCTCTGGCTGTTAAAGAGACTGCTTGGAATAAATGAAGAAAGGCCATCTCTAGTGCACATAAATGGAACTGGCCTCAAAGCTCTTTCAGTGTTCGAAGTTTCTGTTTTCAAGTGTTCAAGCCTCTCACAAATATAATTGAATGAACCCTGGTTTAGGCTTTTCTGATCTGGCCAGCTTTTCTTCCCTTTAAAAGAATAATCTCTTTCAAAATCTGACTCTTTTCCATGTCCATGAAAGCTGGACAAAGACATAGTACATGAATCTTCTGACCAAAATGGATTAGAGAAAGCAGAGTCACTTGAAACATTCTGAAACAAGGTTTGTGAGTCTAAGGAATTTTCCAATTTCTTTGAGTTTTCTTGATGCATAACATGTGCGCCATGTATTGGTTTCAGAGTAGAAAATTCTGAACTGTGTACAGGCTGAGATATTCCAATCAATTTTTGAGAAGGTGGTTCAATCAGTGGGAGATGATTAATGTTGGATGACAATTCTGGAATAGGACTTAGAAAATGAGTTCCTGATTTGGGAAAGCAAGGACTGACAGGATAGTCTCTGGTGGGTGTGCAGAGTGGAGAATTACTGGGGGGATCAGGGCTATAGTAATAGTCACTTATAGGAGATGCGAGAGAAGTACAGGTGATGGAAGACAATTGGTTTGAAAAATCTTGCATTTTAGGCAGTGTGAGTTTAAGCCCATTTGGTCTGCAAACGTTGTCATTTTCTTTTGCCCTCTGAGGAGACTGGGATTCATCGTCAAAAGTAACCCAGTTTGCAGTATTTGCAGTAAACATCTTGTTGTAGAAATCTGGAAAAACTGAGCAAAAGTTTCATTTGTAATTCATCTGTGAAAAAGAAGGGGGGGGGAAGTAAGAAAAATATTTATTGACATATTTATTTCAATCAGTGTAATTTTCAGGTTCAGAGACATGTGAAGTGAATGCTTAATGGCATTAGACAAAAAAAATGGATGGATAAAGGAACTGGTCATTCCTATTTTGTATAAATTCTCTTACACATCAGTATTTTTAAACATTTAAAAATGTTAAATCAGTATTTTCAATAGATCTTTGATTATGGCTTATTCAAAAGGAACAACAAAATCAGAGTTACTTATCCTATTACATTTGTATAGAAAAAGAATCAATAAATCATAATGGTTTGGAGATGGAGAAAGAATAGTGCTGCATTAAAAGTTACATTTTTCAATTGTCCTTAGCTTGTTATGTTCTGGGGAAAAATAAGGACATAGATTAATTTTATTTAAGGTATTTTTTTTTTTAAAAAACCATAAAAACTGAGAGCTAAAGTACAGAATTGGTTTCTTCCAGCTCTTCTTACTGCTAAAAGATAAGTCTTTCAACAATGTATGGCCCAATTATTTCAAAGATTAAAGATATGATGTTATTTGTCACTTATTAAAAGTTGCTTATAGATGTGGATTAGATATGAATTATTACAATGCAGTATAGTCATCTTTTATGAAATTGTTGTATAAATTTTATACATATATACATTTCTTAGAGGACCTTATAAATATAAAAAGAAAAAAAGAATTATCCTCTTTATATTGGAATATTGCTTCAAGAAGGAAGCAAGGCTTATAACAGTGACACAGTACTTGGTCATAAGAATGAAACAATGAAAATACAATAATATTCTACTTATTTTTAAATTAGCATGGCTCTGTTGGAATTGTACATTTGGACAATTGTACAATTTAGGAAATAAAGTATAAATGAAACACTTGTTTTTGTTATTGACTTAAAAATTCCTGATTTGAATAACTCTGATAAACTCCAATTCGTAAGTCTTCTGCACACATCTGAAAATATAGTTCATAAAAATAATTACCATAACACTTATTTTCAATCAAAATGGCATCGGACCTGGATATCTCCGAGACCGCCTTCTGCCGCAGGTTACCTCCCATCGGCCGGTACGCTCCCACAGAGTGGGTCTCCTCAGGGTGCCGTCAGCCAGACAGTGCCGGCTGGCGACCCCCAGGGGGAGGGCCTTCTCGGTGGGAGCCCCCACCCTCTGGAACGAACTACCCCCAGAGATCCGGGTGANGATTTTTAGCGGGGTTTTTTAAGGGTATTTTAAGGATAATTTTAATGATCGGCCTTCTTAAATATTTCCTTTTAATTCGGTTTTTAATATAGATATCATTGTATTTGTATTGTGGTTTTTATGAGGCTGTTAGCCGCCCTGAGTCCCATGAGGAGAAGGGCGGGGTACAAATTAAATTAATAAATAAATAATAAATAAAAAGCAACCTTTCCATTTTTTGAAGACTATAATATTCAAATTTAAAATTGTCAAAGTCCAAACCAGGATTTTTGGAGAGAAACAAGTATTGAAGATATTACTGAATATTTTAAACAGGATATAAATAGAATAGAACAGGGTGCAGGATAGTTCATACTGCTCCTCTGCATACTATTACTTTAAGAATTCACTCTAATTATGCACATATAACTGTAATCTTACTTTTTAATGGCTGAATATTCTATTAAACATAGCAGTATACAAGTTTCCTGCTATTTTTAATTACAGTACATGCTTATTTGTTTGCTGGTTTGCTGTAAATAAGTTTCTACTTTATGTACATGGTAATAAAATATTTTATTTTATTTACTATGAAATTGGTAATCTGAATTTTCATTTTATTTCAGCCATTAGCAAAGCAAAAACATATTTGACAGGATGAAGATTTCATCACAAATACAAGGCATATTTTTAATGTGTTCAACTATTTCTTTTTTCTTCATGTTATTCCCATATTTCTCTAATTAGTCTAAACCAATAGCAAAAGGAACATGCCTGAAAGCAGTTCAGTCATAAACAATAATCCATTCAGGATTCTGGAAACATTACTGCTCAAACCAGACAAATGTTTCTTGCTCAAAACTGCATTTTATTTTATTTCATCTATATAACTCTAGAAATGTACCTTATTTTTTGTTTAACACTCAAAACAGCTTCTTTTGAGACCAAAATATTATTTACATCTCTAGCTTGTAATCTCTGGGTTTCACAAAGCTGCTCAGTGCTGACAAGGCCCTCTGAGAAACAGATGGAAAATACATCCTCAACTGGAATGGAACAACTCGCCGCGGCCCACTCACAATGAACAACTCACCATGGGACAACTTTCCAAGGACAATTTAACAATTTAATTCAATTATTTTAAATTAAAAAAAAATTAATTTTTGTCATTCACATTTCATACTGTCCCTCCTTTTGCATCCTTTCTTTAATGATTCTGTTCCACCATTTCTTTGATATTAGTGTAACTCTTATCCCGCAGTGAGTTGTCCCAAAGCAAGTTGGCTGTGGCGAGTTGTCCCGCAGTGAGTTGGCCACGACAAGTTGGCTATGGTTTGAGTTGACTATGGCAAATTGTCATAGACCTTCGCCAACTGCTGTCAGGGAAGCTCAGTTATCGGTAGTGTCCAATACTATCCATCTATCAGAAGAGTGGAATCTGCTAAGAGAATGGATTCTCTTTCCATTTCAAAAAATAATCTAGTGGTTTGGACATTTAGCAGAGCATATCTGAGCAGACAAGGAAGGTAGGAAAGGAAATACCCTACAAAAGCAGAAGTACTCTGGAAGAAGCCCTGTACTTTCAAATAGTTGTAATACTGAATTTTATTAATTACAGAATACTGATCACACTTCAGGATTACAGTGATAAAACAAATAGATTTACCTAGCATGGTAGTTAATTTTTCTTAATTTAAGAAAAATGCAACAATATAAGAATGAGTTTTGTAAGGTGTAAATCCACAACAACCTTGATCCAGATGGTCTGCACTTCATATTTATTGTTCATATGCAATCATATTTCATTTGGTTTCTTCTAGAGCATAACAAATGCATCGCCACAATTTAATGTTGAGACTTATAGAACCACTTCATGCACTGCTAATTGCTTTTAAATCTATGTCAGCTTCATAACATCTTTTATTTTATGGCTATGTACAGTATTTGGACATCTTCCTATGAGTTGTTGATAGTTCTACAGACAACAAAACAGTGTTGATAGTCATTTCAAACTAACTACTTGTTCTTAAACTATAATGCATAAAGAGATCATGATAAAAAGTTGGAAATATGATTGGTACTGCACAAAACCTTAAAGCAGATATTTATGTCTGAGTACAAGTAGTCCTTGACATATGACCACAGTTGAGCCCAACTGAGTGAATCTGACTTCCCTATTGACTTTGATTGTGAGAAGTTTGCAAAAGGTGATCACCGAATGTTATTATACCAGTATTTCACAACTTTTATCTACTACAGGTAGTCTGCAACTTACAACCATTCATTTAGTGACCGTTTGAAGTTACAACTGCACTGCAAAAAATGACTTTTCACCATTTTTCAAACTTACAACTGTTGCAACATCCTCACGGTCATGTGATTGTGGATACTTGGCAACTGGTTCATACTTATAATGGCTGCAGTGTCCTGGGGTCATGTGATCACCTTTTGCGACCTTCAGACAAGCAAGATCAATGGGGAAGCCAGGTTCACTTAACAACCATGTTACTAACTTAAAACTGCAATGATTCACTTAACAACTGTGGCAATAAAAGTCGTAAAATGGGACAAAACTCACTTAACAAATTTCTCAGCAACATAAATTTTGGGCTCAATTGTAGTCATAAGTCGAGGACTACCTGTACAATGCCTATCTAAACTGTATTACCTATCTTTCAATTAGCAACATACTACTGGGGATTGAAGTTAGCCAATTGAACAGGCAAATCTGTTACAGTATTATTTTTTTTAGCAACAGTTTGCTTTGTTCCAAATACTCAAGATTCAGAGGAATAGAATTCTTTTCTGTTATTATCTGAGAACGGATTGGATGTTTATATGCATGTATTAAGTACGAATGAAATGCCAGTCAGCTTGGAATTTCCTGTTAGTCTG